TCACTGTATGGGCCACACTACTTCAAGGTACTCAAACTGGGTTGAAAACAAGCTCAAAAAAGCAGTTAAGAAACACCATCAACACCTGAACTGACGTATTTGTAAGGACGGTTCAGCAAGGTCATAGAGAAGTTGCACTTGGCACAGGCCAAAACCTCGATTGAAGAAGAAAACACCACGAAAAAAGGGGAAGATGGTGGAGGAGACATCAATTACCAGAGTGAAATGGCAAGCTGCGCCAAAGCACTCTCACAAGTTAAGCAAGGACAATGGAGAAGCTGCAAAGTGGAGAGACAAAGAAGTGAAGTCGAAGAACTCGGGAACATGATGATTATGAGAATTAAAGTCATTTCTCGGTGGCCCCTGTGTACTCCTAGTACCACAGTCACTTTACACAGGCTATTTGAAAAGCCAACATGTAATTTTTTTACTAAGAAATAGCAGCACTCAGACACATCTTGTCAGGAGGCAAAAATAACCCAATACACTTGAAAGCCAAACCACATGGGGTATGTGAAGAATCACAGAAATACTGACCGAAATGAAATGGGATAGTGTGGCTGGAAAACCAGGGTATGCCATACTGTACATCATCTAATATAAATTTAAATCTAAACTGCAGAGTTTTACAATGTTCTGGGGTCAGATACTATGATGGGTCTTATACAGAGTCCGATGTCCAAAGTCAAGTGGACTTGGTTACCCACATTTCTCTATATTGAGTTCTGCTCTCTTTAGCCACATGAAGCTCAGCACAATAGTGATACTCACATCCAAAGTGCACTAATGCAACTAAAACACATCTATTACACATCTAAGGATCACACACAAGCACAAAATTAAACTAAAGTAATTCCAGTGATGCAATACAAAATGAAAAATCATCATCATCGTCATCATCATAAATAGTCACTTCTACTATAATGGTTGTATCTATTGTTATTGCTGTGTGCCTTTGTCTCTACTTGTCCTTCTCTCTTATTGGCTTTGTCATCACTGAGTGAATGTGTGTGAAAGGGTGAATGTGGCGTGTAGTGTAAAAGTGATTTGAGTGATCGGAAGACTAGAAAGGCTCTATACAAGTACAGGTCCATTTACCATACTTGTTTAGGATAGCTACAGATGTGGAAATACAACAGTGTTAGTCAACCCTGTCCAGAAGTTCTCGTAATGCACAGATCCATCCCTGGAAAGCTTCTGCAGATAATGTGATATTCAGCATTCATTGTGTCCAAGAAGGATATCTGATTATGGTGCTGGTGGTCATAAACTTTCCACCTCTGTGAGGAAAATAATGAATCTGTGTGGTTCAAGAATATGTCCATCTTTGGATGGACTATAAACAGCTCTCCAAGAGAAACGGGAAATGCTACGACGGAGTATTAGGGCCATACTAACACAACTTTTTTGTGGAAATTACGAGAATAAAGTCATAACATTGCGAGAATAAAGTAGTGATTTTATGAGAACTGTCAGCCTGTTGGCTCAGCCAGCAAAACTGTTTAACGACGAAATGATCGATAAGTTATCTAACCTGTTGCTGTACGGTAGGACTGACAGAAACAGCGGCTGCTGGGCTCAGACTGAGGCTGCTGTTTGGTTGAGATGCTCACGTCAGATCTTCATAACTCTATCGAAGCTTTTTTCTCTCATTAAAACGACTTTTTTTTCTTGTATTATTATTACATTATTCTCGTATTATTACGACTTTATTCTCGTAACATTACAACTTTTTTCTCGTAGACCAAATATTATGACTTTATTCTTGTTATATTATGACTTTATTCTTGTAATTTCCAAAAAATATATATATATTTTTCTCTTAGTCTGGCCCTAATACATTGTCCTATACAAATACAAAACGCTCTGGATTCTGACTCCCTTGTTTTTTTTTTTCTTACCTGATGCAAGCCTTTCATAGAGGTCATCGAGGAATGACAAGAGATGCTCAGTGTTGTATGTCCCAATTAGGACTTCAGGCATTTTTATTTCTTTTAGATGTAGATGTACCAGAGTGTTGCATCCCAGCCTCATGCTCATGCTGTGACACCCCCAAACTCACCTCTTTTGTTCTGATGATTGAAGTCCAGTGGACATATTCTAGCTCAAGCCACAAACTGAGGGTTAAGCCCACTCTGATGACAAAAATGTGGCACAAATATACCAGAAAATGTTCCCAATAGGTAACACACACACACACACACACACACACACACACACACACACACACACACACACACACACACACACACATTTCAGACACAGACTCTTTGCACTCTTTCTGCTCTCTTTGCAGGAGACAGGAAGTGACTCAGACCCTGGGATTTGAGGATGAGGCTCCCAGTCCAAGAGACTGGACAGTACGCTACACACAGCGGCCAAACCCTGCAGGCCCTCTCTGGTTGCCTCTCTCTCTCTCTCTCTCTCTCTCTCTCTCTCTCTCTCTCCCCCCAGGTGCAGCAGGCAGTATCCATGTGTCTTTGCTTCATCTCATCGCTGAACAATGCTGTAAGACTAGCAAGAGAACAGAGATATAAATGCTCATTATTTTGAATCCTCACTCATCAATGAGCATGAATGTTTCCTCTACTGTAATTCAAATTCATGACATTCATAGCTGTACAGTTGCTCAGTCTTCTTTTAATAATTGATTAATTAATGACCCTGTAGTATATTGATTGTAAACTTAGCCATTTGTGGTGCACAAGAGTGTTTTTTTTAATTCTCCCAAAATATGTTCATATTTAAGAAAAATGAAAATATGTCTGTCTATCTTTGCTGCTGACTACAGTCATCATGAGCACTGAGCAATCATATCACTCTGCACATTACAGTCTAAAGAGACCTACTATCTTTTGCAAGTTGGATCTTTTTTCCACAACAGTATAATCACTTATAAATTGTCTCATAATTCAGTCCTTTTTGTCAGTTTTATAACAATGTATCACAATGTCATTTAGGAGAATGTGCAGCTTGTTTGCATGTTCACTGCAACGTATTCTTCATCTAGAGATAAACAGAATATTATATTATCTCATGACCTTCCCTACTGCATTATAGTGAGTTTAGTGTAAAGCAAAAGGCTTTGAAAAAATTATATAAAAAGACATAAAATCTATGTAGTTTTTATGATAATTTCAACTCAGAACATGCATTAAAGGAATACACAGCTGTACTTGCCTATACAATTTCAATCTTGTAGGTCCAGAGATAAAACAACACATATCCAAACCCTCTTATTGCCATATCTCTCCAACAGCTCTCCAAGAGAAACGGGAAATGCTACAACGGAGTATTAGGGCCATACTAACACAACTTTTTTGTGGAAATTACGAGAATAAAGTCATAACATTGCGAGAATAAAGTAGTGATTTTATGAGAACTGTCAGCCTGTTGGCTCAGCCAGCAAAACTGTTTAACGACGAAATGATCAATAAGTTATCTAACCTGTTGCTGTACGGTAGGACTGACACAAACAGCGGCTGCTGGGCTCAGACTGAGGCTGCTGTTTGGTTGAGATGCTCACGTCAGATCTTCATAACTCTATCGAAGCTTTTTTCTCTCATTAAAACGACTTTTTTTTCTTGTATTATTATTACATTATTCTCGTATTATTACGACTTTATTCTCGTAACATTACAACTTTTTTCTCGTAGACCAAATATTATGACTTTATTCTCGTTATATTATGACTTTATTCTTGTAATTTCCAAAAAATATATATATATTTTTCTCTTAGTCTGGCCCTAATACATTGTCCTATACAAATACAAAACGCTCTGGATTCTGACTCCCTTGTTGTTTTTTTTTCTTACCTGATGCAAGCCTTTCATAGAGGTCATCGAGGAATGACAAGAGATGCTCAGTGTTGTATGTCCCAATTAGGACTTCAGGCATTTTTATTTCTTTTAGATGTAGATGTACCAGAGTGTTGCATCCCAGCCTCATGCTCATGCTGTGACACCCCCAAACTCACCTCTTTTGTTCTGATGATTGAAGTCCAGTGGACATATTCTAGCTCAAGCCACAAACTGAGGGTTAAGCCCACTCTGATGACAAAAATGTGGCACAAATATACCAGAAAATGTTCCCAATAGGTAACACACACACACACACACACACACACACACACACACACACACACACACACACACACACACATTCAGACACAGACTCTTTGCACTCTTTCTGCTCTCTTTGCAGGAGCCAGGAAGTGACTCAGACCCTGGGATTTGAGGATGAGGCTCCCAGTCCAAGAGACTGGACAGTACGCTACACACAGCGGCCAAACCCTGCAGGCCCTCTCTGGTTGCCTCTCTCTCTCTCTCTCTCTCTCTCTCTCCCCCCCTTCTCTCTATCTCCCTCCTCCATGTCAGTGTGAAAAAGATGATCACTCCACAGAAAATGACCCCCCAACTGCAAACAGCCCGGGGCTTAAAGTGACAGGCTCTGAGGTTAGACTCAGTTTTTGATTGTGAACATTTATGTCTTACTTTTCTACTTATGAGCTGGGTTATCTTGCAAGAAGACTGCTCCAACTTCAAAGGGGTTTTGATGGATTTTTTTTAAAGAAACATTTCATCAGTGGTGAAGCTTTCAACTTCTTTAAAGTTACTGCTACAGTAGTTCAGCCACAAATCAAATCTCTCTCATCTCCAGTGTACTGTCAGTGATGATGTGTTTTTATCCTTTGCTTGATTTCTGGATGTTTTGGAAAACATTTGAAACACAGTTTTTGAACTACATGCACATTTATGTGTGTATGCTCTCTGTGTGTATGTGTGTTTGTATATGGGTGAGTTGATTTCTTAATTGTAAAAGTAAAACTTCAAACCCTTAACGCTTTTTCCCCTCCTCATATGCAGTTGCTTAATTCCCCTGCTCTCTAACATTACTGTACATGTTAGTGTAGGTCTGATATTTTAATCTTCCAGCAGCTGTTCACACGACCGTTTCCCATTGGCTTGGCTACAGCCGTGGAAGGTGTGGTCTCAATGAACGATGCTGCATCCTTTGTTAAACAGCAGCTTGCAGTTAAATATTGACTAGTAGTAAACAGTAAAGAAGCGGTAGCAATGATCGATAAAAAAAACCTTCCTTTTACTTGATCAGAAAAGTGTACTTGTTCAAGCAATTTTATATTGTATCCAATTTCCACCTGTAGCAGCCTTTGAGATATGTCCAGTCTACTCAAAGGAATTCAACGAAAGCTCCGACTGAAGTTTCGGAGGAAGAGGAGCACTAATCGAGCAGTTAAGGATCGAGACTTGGCTTGATGAGAGGGAAAACCCGCGAGACGCGAGCTCTTCCTCTGGCCATGATAATGGGCACCATGCGCTCCTCGCCCTGTGCGTAAGCTGCTGTGGAGGACCCACACATTATGAGACGCCATGGCATGGTGTGACCGAAGGGTTCAGACTTTGCTGGCCATCGTGGGGGCCTTCGCCGCCTTCAGTCTCATGACCATCGCCATCGGCACCGACTACTGGCTTTACTCCCGCGCGTACATCTGCAACACCACTAATGCCACCACGGACGAGACCCAGATACAAACTAAGAAAGTCAGAGGCGACCTGACGCACTCCGGGCTGTGGAGGATCTGCTGTGTCGAAGGTAAAACAAAGTCTAATAAGTTAGTAACCGTTATTCCACAAACTTTTTTGGTGACATACCAAGTGCTTAATGGCACAGGTGAGCATTTTTCCCTCAATGATGAGCCAGCTGATCTCCTGATTGTTTGTTTTACGGCCGGAGGTGACAATATGTTTGGTGTGATCAAATAGTGATTACATGTTCTGTCAGTGAAATTAAACTAGATTTAAATGAATGCTCCTGTTGGGCACTCCGAGCGAAAATAATCGAAACGTCTGTGGAAAAAAGTATATGGCAATTTGCAGTGGTTGTTTGTGTGGTGTGTGACGAAGCACCAAAAATGGAAATAAACTAAGGGGTGCAACATCATCATCAGTGTTTTCTGTTGATAAATGCGTTAAGTAGCATTAAATATTGTGGGCATGATATTGTACACTACTGCTCTACTACTACTGCTCGTTGCGCGCAAAGGCGGTGATGTGCGTGTGTAATGCTACTTTAGCGTCAGTTTCTATTGTAAATGATTTATTTTGAAAAATGAGTCTCAATATGTAGATCGTGACATAGAGCCAAATCTAATGGCTTTTTTATGTTTTACATTTTGTCACAGGAAATGTAGCTTGTCCAGTAATAATTGAAGGATTCCTCCTAATTATCTAATTAACTCGACCCTGTTGCTTGGCAACTACTTCCATAAAATTGCTTTGACTGATGAAATATGTTTCAGCTACAAAAGTAGCGTTTTCCCAATAAACTGACTTGCTTCATGAAATCCTGGCAGCATTTTCTCAGCAGTTCTGCGTATCCATGTTCCCTGACATACACGCCTGAGGAGTTTTTGGGGCTGGGCTTCCTGCACATCACTGCGCGCGACTGCATCATTGGAGAGAATCCGGATCAATTAAGTCAATCGGTTTTTCCCCCCCTTGTACTTTATTGATAAACAACGAGGAACATAATAATGGACAGTACACATAACATGAAATCAATCAGTTCATCTGGTAGTAGCCACCCGTGGCACCAGTGACGTCTTCCATCAGTCCTTCCTGTTGTGGCGCTGTCCACTGCTGCTGGTGCTGAAATCTCCACTCTGAAGGATTTTCTTCCTTTTAACTAAAATCCCAACGAGGCACAACTAATTAATAACTTAACATTTACAAGACAACCTCAGATGGAGGGGGCCAATCGTGACACACTGTAAGCTAGAAAATACTCAGTTTCTGACTTGTAAAGTATTAAACACAACGACTGAAGGTTTCTGCAGAATTTAGGTGATCAGCTTTTCCACACTTTCCTGTAGGTGGTACTCATGCTCAATCATGTCTTGCAGCCAAAGAGATGTTGCAATTGCAACCACAGAGGGAAAAAACAACTGTACTATGATTGCATTGTAATGGATCAATTCATATCACGACATTAATGATAATCAAATCACAGAATGTGGTATACTATCAGAAAAAATCCTTATGGTTTTTATGACATTTGACATACAATTACCTTATTGATCACAAGAGAATACTTGATTGCGATGTGTGAAGTTAGTAAAGGGAATTTGTTTTATCTCCAAATTGACAATGTTGTCCAAGTGAAGAGGCAACACTTGCCTAGAGGTTTGTCTCATATGCCATTACAGAAGTCACACTTCCTGCACTTTCGCTCTGCACGGTTACTACTCTTACTGGAACTTTAAATAAAAAGTGCATGACTATTTATGGATTTCCTGCAAAGGTATTCAAAAGACACATTCCCTTTCTCTCCCCTCAAACCCTTGAGAGTATCATCGGCAGAAGGGATATGCAGCACTCACTGTTCTTTAAACATCTGTCATCTTTTCCGCCATCTTCTCTTTCCCGGCTCACATTGTTGGATGTGTGTTACATGCAGAGCTGAAACTAAAACTAACACAACTTATCTGGCTCTTTCTCTTACACATACATCAGCACTATTGCCACACTTTCACTTTGTTTTCAATTTCACTGGCCTCTGGTGGCACACCTGTATCTGACTTTGGCTTAAGTCAAAAAGTTAATGGCATCCAATCACTTGAACATCATCAGAGTGCCTAAACATATGGGCAATTTGTATAATCTCCCTAAAGTTGGGTTGCACCCTGTTTTTCCAAATGCATTCTTCAACTGTCAAAATATAATAGTAATTATTTCATTTCCTTCGTACTTTGCCTATACTTTCCCTTTGTTGTTGATTTGCTTTAAAACATAATTAAACACTCATTTTACTTTCCAGTTGAGGGATAATTTCTTCCAGGAAGAAAGAACAACATGGAGTCGAACCAGTTATATTAGATCAAATGAGTGACATAAATAATGGGTAAACCCTGGGGACACATTGGCTAACCCTGTAGAAGGAATTATGCTTGTCTCTATGTGCCAGACAGACATCTGTATGAGTGTTCTGTCTTGTAGAGCAAGGAGGAGGTTCACTGAAGGTGAGCAATGATGGCAAATGAGCTTTTAAAGGAAACAAAGTGAGGTCTTGTTCTGCAGCCAGTCATGCTGAAATGAAACAACAAGAACTCTCACTTAAGCAAGTCACCCCTGTTCACTGAACATGCTGGAGTGGAGTGCTAGAGACTTTAAATGGACAAATCCTGCTGATTTGCTGTGAGCCACCGCCTCGCCAAGTTTTTTTCTTTTTCTGCTTTCTTGTCTCGTGGCTTTGTTAGTGTGTGTGCGTGCGCGCGCGTGTGTGTACGTGTGTGTGCGTGTGTTAGTCTGGTGAATGCATTAGTAAGATGTCAAAGGCGTCCTCTGAGAAGCGAAGCTAGAAATGTGATTCTGGGTTGCCGGGGGAGGTTGTCATGGTGAAGCTATGCTGAGTAATAAAAGATGGGCTCCGGTCTCTCAGACAGATGGGCTCTGGGGAGATACCTCCCCTACTGAGCTCCCTCTCTTTCTCTCTTCTCCTTCTATCTTTCTTACCGTCATTCCTCTGATCATTAACTCACTGGCCTTTTGTGTATTATTTATTAATACCATCATTTTACATCTTCGCTTTTTGTTTCATCTTACAAAAGAAAACTTTTAATTTCTGGATTCTCTCTTGTAATCTTTTACCCTGCACCTGTAACTATTTTTTCCTAGACTTTTTGGATCACACAATAAGAAAGAAATAGCCAATGCCAGTGAAACACTGATCTTATAAATATAAAATACATGCAAGATACACTCACACACCCAGTATGGACATAATGATTGTGCTTCTGTTTCGATCCAAAGAGTGTGCTTGGTCCATAATAAGATCAAAATAAAGCTGAGAGAGGGTTGAAGAGGGAAACAGTTTAGAACACAGGAGGGAGAGAAATGAGACATGATAGTGGTAAGAGTGTTGTAGAAAACAACGAGAGTTGAAAGAGACTGAAAGAGTGAGGTTGAAAGAGTGGAGTCAGTGAAGGCAGACTGAGTCTCGGCTGTTAAGGATGTTTCATCACTTTCTCTCTGCTTTCCTTTCACTCTCTTTCCCAGCTGTCTCAGACATTAACCATAAAAATGTAGCAGACAAATGTGACATTGAATTTTGCGCTGATGGCTGGAAGGAAATCATGTCACAATAATAAGTAAGAATCATGGTAACGGTGCTGTGTGTAAACAACCATTGTTTTGTTTACATTCAGCATTTGTCACCAAAACACATTACGTGTCCTCATGGCCTAACAAACGTGGTGAATGGATTTCCTAGCACATGAGCCATTTCCACTACAAAATTTGTAACTCATCTATGAGCTGTTTACAACAAAATGCCATTTAGCCAGAGGCTATGCTAACCAGGATGCATAAAGCCATAGATAGAATTAGCCTGTGATTGCAACTAATCAGCTAATGTTCACACTTATTTGTATTTTGTAGCAGGAACACAACAAACCACTGGCTAAACCCACAGTAAACAGTGAACGCCGCCTCAAAAACCCCAGACATCACAGAAATGTTATTGTCTATTTGCAATAGCACATTTAAGAAAGGTTGAATGTCAACAGTGAGCCACAGATAGGACTGTAACATACAGTAAAGTGGCTTTAAAGTTTTGCTAGTTTCTTATTCCTTACCTTTGCTGGCACATTGCTATGTTTTCTTTCTCGTATTACTGCTGTCAATTGTCAAATAGTGGTAGGCCTTTAGTGTGAAACCTTTGGCAGGTGTGTGCAAACAAAAGGCTGACCTGCTCATAACAAAATTGCCCCATAGCACTACTAGTGGTCAGAAACCTAACAGGGTACCTTTAAATCAAGCAAATCTGCTGCAGAGTATGTTTCTTTTTTCAGGTTAGAAGAGAAATAATGTTTTAATTCCTCTTGAATAACATTATCTGACAGAACTTGCACTAGGACTGGCTGCTGGCGTGGAGGAAATAATCAGCAGTTTATCTGAACACTTCAAACAAGTCTAACCTTTGGTTGGCAAGAAATGTTTGAATATATGGGCTTTTCCAATCTGTTGATTAGAACTTATTTTCACATCAGCAATTTAGAATTTCTAATTTAAATTAAGTAATAATTTATTAAGACATAACCAACAGCAGTGTGGTTTGAATTGAGTAATAGGATTATTTGGTTGCCAATTGTAAAGTATTAGAGAAACAGGAAAGGCAGGCGTGAGAGAAGAAATGCAGCAAAGTGCCTGGACTAGAGTCAAACTCGGGCTACTGTGCTAAGGATTCAGCCTTGATACATGGTATATACGCTCTACCAGGTGACCTACCAGGGCGCCCCCTGCTGTTATATTTTTACAGTTTATTGAAGTATATGAGAAACTCAAAACTATGTTTTTAGACATATGCTTTATACAGATGATGCATTTACATTGATACATCATCAGGTGTTTCTAAGTGTCTAGCATGGCTCCAGAACAACTAGCGCAGTAGAAAAGGCAGAAATGACAGGATACGGCAAAAATCAGGCTTTTGACTTCTAATGTCTAACCTTTCAATATTCATAATGCTCCAATGTTTTATTCTCTTAAAAGTGGAGGGAAGATTTTCTCAGTGAAGAGACTGGGTCTTTGAATAGAAGGTGCCTGAGGGCTTGAGAAGTTAAGAACCTCAGATCCACAGCAGCCTGTCCTCGAACGGTCTCTGACATGGTTAGAGGTGAAAACGAGACAGTTCAGCACTAGCTTAGAAATTCTTTACCAAAAAGAAACTTTATAGAGTTTCTATAACTTATTTGTCTCAGGATCATAAAAGTTTCAGTTTGGTTCAGTGGATGGTCAACAGGTTGTTCTTTTTGTACCTTCTATCTTATTTGGAGCCTCTCATGTCCAACCCCATTATAAAGACACAGTATTTTTGTTTAACTGTTGTCATTTTGTCCCTGCACAGGCTGTTACTACCATCAGTTACATTCAAACTGCTTCTGGCTTCTCTGCAGGTATCAACAAAGGAAGCTGTTTTCGGATCAATCATTTTCCAGAGGATAACGACTACGATACAGACAGCTCTGAGTACATCTTACGTAAGTCATTGCAACCTCTTCATCTTCAAACACGTCAACCCTTAATCTTTCCTTTTTTTCCCTCATGTGGCAATGGAGTTATCACAAGGGTACTTAATGTGTCATGACATCTGTATCCCTCCCCCATAAAAAGCCTGATGTCATGACAGTAATTGGAGCTATGGAGATGATGAAGTGTGTTGTGGGCTGGTGAGCAATAGGGCTGGTCTAAAACATAATCCACGTAAGAACATATCTCGCATTTGACCAAGGTAGTTTGACGAAGACCTGTCACTCGAGCGGTTACACTGAAAATTGTCTAAAAACTATGGGTAGTCTAGGTTATTACAGTTCAATCAATCTATCCATTTTGCTTGAGGTTTTAGATCACTCTCACTCTGCATATCACATTTGATTTCTAGTTTGATTCCCTGTGCCCCAAAGCAACTGTTACCATCTTTGCTGTTGTCTATATTGATGAATTTCAATAAGCTCATGGAAATTAAATCCTGCACTCACTTGGTTAGTGTCACGGAAAGGCAGGATTGTCTGTTATTTGGGCCTTAGTATCCCTGGAAGCATTCCTCTCATACTACATGTGTTGTGTCACATATTGTTTTTTTTAGCATTTATTTTCAGCTTAATCTTTGCAGAAATGCCCTCAATTGGCATGGGAACAGAAACATGTACATATAGTAGGATACTTGTTTTTGACACAGTTTGCCTCCCCTTGGTTTAAAGGATAAGAAAACCCATATTCTTTTTTTTTTCTTTCTTTAATTCTATTTTATAATCCTTTTGGAAGAACACCTTTGCTAGACAAAATTCTTGTGAAAGGAGTAGTGAAGAAAAAACTCTAATTTATCACCGGACTCTGTAGTTCCTGTCCGCTCTATGGAGCATTTTAGAGCCTTTAAGCCATTTGTTTCAGTTTTACAATCGACAACTTTACTGTTTTGGTTCAATTTCAACACTCTTATCAATCCCTTTTCCAGCTCTGATAAAAAAAAATGTACATCAATGCCCAGCACCAAACAGCAGACGGACAAAATTGAGTAGCTGGTAAATACAGTACAGGATTTAGAGATCCAGATATTCTCCTCAGAGTTGGTGAAAACCAAAACAGAGCGAAAAGCAAGTGAATATTTATCAATTATTAATAAGTAATATATGGTGAATGAATGAATAAACTTCTGCTTCTTTTACTAATACTGCCCAGACTATTACTACTACAGTACTACTGTATTAACGATAACAATTACATTATTTCTAATACTATGACTAATTCTTTAATTACCATTTCTTTAGTTTAAATATTAACAAAGGCCATGCTCCCCAGCCATTATCTTATATATTCAAAGGGATGTATTTCTTCATACACACTGACAAGAAGGCTTCACTGTATGTCTCTCTCCTATGAACAGGTATAGTGCGTGCATCAAGCCTATTCCCCATTCTCAGCACCATTCTGCTGATGTTGGGTGGCCTGTGTGTCGGGGTTGGACGCGTCTACAGCAACAAGAACAACATTGTGCTAAGTGCTGGCATCCTGTTTGTGGCTGCAGGTAGGACGAGACTGACAGTATACTGTAGATAAACACACAATCTGGAGACATTATCATCCACTTTTGTACTTTTACATCCATTGGCTTTTCTTTCAAATTCCCAATTAATTCTCTTCATCTCCTGTCCTTCTCTCCTTCTCATTTTTCTTCAGGTTTGAGCAACATCATCGGCATCATTGTCTACATTTCCAGTAACGCGGGAGATCCCAGTGACAAGAAAGACGAGGACAAGAAGAACCACTACAACTACGGCTGGTCTTTCTACTTTGGCGCCCTCTCCTTCATCGTGGCTGAATCAGTGGGTGTTCTCGCAGTCAACATATATATTGAGAAAAACAAAGAGACGCGCTTCCGAGCCCGACATGACTTCATCAAAACCACCTCCTCTTCTTCGCCATACTCTCGCATCCCAAGTTACCGCTACAGACGAAGGCGCTCACGCTCCAGTTCGAGGTCAAGTGACCCGTCCCGCGAGCCCTCCCCAGTGGGGATGAAGATCAGTGGAGGAAGTGGTGGTGGAGGAGGAGGAGGGTTGGGGATGGGTTTGCCAATGGGAGATATATCCCTGTATGCCCTCAGTAGGGACCCTCTGAAGGGTGGAAGTGCGACTGCAGGGCCCTACAGTCCAAAGAGGGACTCTGGGTTTTTACAAGTCCACAACTGCTTTCAGAAAGATCTAAAAGATGGAGTGAACAGGAGGACCACGCCGGTGTGAGGTCAGGAGTTTATTGCTGTGTGAAACAATAAGCTTGATGGGACACATTAGATATTGTACTGTTGATAAGAAAGGACACTTCCTCCCCCGGGGCTGTTCAGGCAGCAGCGATGTTGAAAGGTCAGAGCTCAAAATTGTTTTCCTTGCATCCCTCTGTGACAGAAAAGTGCCAATCTGTGTTTCATTTGAAGGAAGAAGAAAAGTGATATCAAAACAACTTTTTATGATATGACTCAGTATCTTCTTTAAAAAGTGGATGCTGACATTTTGTAGCAATATTTGAAGAGTTTAAAACTAAAATGTGATACCCAATATGTGTGAGTGACCCCTGCTCTTACAGAAAGGCTGTACTGGTATTCTTTGCCTGATAAAATAATTAACTTTTTATAGATATGATGCTCAATATAATAAAGATTATGAATATTGACCTTCAGGTAATGATGTTTTACTTCTATAATAGCTGTATAGTGTTTTTGAAATGAACATATTTCTTATATTCTGAGACAAGAAGTTTGTCAGCAATTTTTTTTGCTAAAATTAAGTGATTTATGTGACTGTTTGAGTATTATTGTATTGTGTTTGTAATTTAACACAACTGGTGCTAACTTAATCTGTACACCTTTAATAGTCTTAAGCCTTCTGAACTGCCATTTAAATACTTTTACCCTATATCAATAACCTCTCTCAAGCTTGTATGTGAGATATGTGATAAATGTGTGTTACAGTATGTGAAATGTCTGTTATGCCTCTGAAACACTGCCAACATCTATTGCATGTGGACATTAAGGGTATTTGCTATTATTAGAGAATCCCATATTGTTTCCAATCTCATATTGAAGAGTTTGTGAGTTCTTCTATGAGCCCTATGAAGGACTATGTGTTGTATTAATTGGGTTTTAAATTGCAAGTTGGGGGAAATGTATAGTTGTATATGTTGTGTCAAGTTAAAATTGATTTTCTTTGTTTAGGTCTGATAACAACAGTGTTTTTGTGATGAGGAAAAAAACTATATGTATAAGCCCTTAAAGAAACCTTGGTCAGGACTCTTAATATATATTAAATATTGTGTTTTTTATCAGAATTAAAGAACACTTATCTTAAATAGTGACTGGGGAGGCAAATTCTTCAAAACACAACTTTGTAATTACAGTTAAATAATAAAATATGAACTAAACTATCAGCTTTTCTTTAAAGAGGAAGTATTAAGCTAATGATGCGGAGTTGATGGGCCTGTTATGCTCTGCAATGAAACTGAGTGGCAAACAGTCGTGCAACCACAGCGTGTTAAAAGAAATCGGCATCAGCCAACTTAATGCTTGACTGAACTAACTGGCTCCCAAATGCTCATCCAGACTTCAAAAAGCTTCTCTCCAAACAAGAGCTGGAGCAAAGTGTGTGTTGTATGTGTGTGGAGGGCTAGTAGAAGTACAAATTACTCATTCTTGGTATGGTGCTCACTTGACTGGGTTCCATGTCAGCTTCATGGTTTGTATCCCAGTTGAATATTTTTAGCAGGAGCTGGAATTGGTTTAATTTGTTTCATTGGTTTGTGAATGAGTGTCACGGCAGTTGCCATGCGTATTTATACACACAGTGCCATGAGATGGTGTGTTGTCTCTGCAAAGTCTCTGCTTTCCCAGGCAGTTATAGTTGACATTCAAGTCACTGAAGTGGAGAGGGGGAAGACTTGAATTGGAATAGACTTGTTTTCATTCTGCATGCATGTGATGTATCTTTGTTGTGCCAAACTGGTCTGATGACCTTGTCACCCATTCCAGCCCTGAATTTGAGTGATTCTTCTTCACTCGTCTCCTCTGTCCATCGCCTATGCTGTTAAGCCCTGCAAATTTGAATGCCATGGACCCTCACTGGTATTTACACCCACAATAAAGCCACCCCCCTCTCCCTTTCCCTCCTGTTGTGCACCAGTGAAATGCTTCCTCCAGTAATTGAGAGGAAAATGGCAGGGTCACCTCTCCCTGCAGTCACAGAACTAGCCAACATGCTTGTTAGCATCGGTACCTCACTGTGCAGGATGGATAAAATGACACTCTGGGTCTCAACTCAGGCTCTGTCTTTGTAACCTGATTCCCCCTTGTGACAAATGGTTCAGCAACAAGTTTATACTTCATCAGACACACCCAATGCAATAAGACAGCATTTACAGCAAACGATTATTTTTTTGAAAATCAATTAAAAAGCAGCTAGAATTTATAGCTACTCTAAGATATTTTGAATGTAGTTATTATAATTCATACGTCAAGGAAGACGAAGGCTATTGGTTGGACTTACAACATAATTATGGATCTAATTGGCAGGTGTAAATGTTACAATGATTTTTATACAAATTAAGAATATATTTTGAATGAATGGAGTCATTGGCTGACACTATATATATATTACTATATTAGATTTTCTTCCAATCTTTGTAAAAAGTAATCTCCACACACAGATAATTATTTATTTTTTTAAACGGGAAAAAACATCACATCTGTGCTTATTTTACTTTTCTAAAACCACTGATGTGTGACTGTCAATCAATCAATCAATCAATCAATCAATCAAAGTCACCAGTGGTGAGAGCAACATATTACACACCATATAGCCATTTTCTTTATTTATATGAAGGATTTACTTCATCAGAAGTTAATTTAATATTATATGATCTTCGTACAGTTTACCAGAACAACATGTACTTGGAGGTAACAGGATAATGTGAAAGCCAGATGCGATTTCCTCCTGGGAGATCCCATCTCCACAGGCTTGCTCTCTCCTCTATAAAAGTTCTATTTGAAAAATTAAAATGGCTGAGGTTTCTCCCAGCAAGGGGCCTGATTCCTCGCTCCCTGTTGATATCGGTGCCATACTGTCAATCCAGGAACCACAGGCATCCATTAGCATGACATCTGTCACTGTGCTAAGACTGGATTTAGCCAGCAGCAGTTGGCGTTAGACCCTTTTCATCTGCTATGACACATGAATAATGACATCATCGTCATAGTGTAATATATCCAATTATTTTACAATGTCTGCAGACTACAGTTTAACCATTAACAAGCACACATAAACACGAGCAAAGTTAGATGTCAAGAATACAAAAGACAAATTTAACAATAAGTAGCATGTTATTATATTTGTTGCAAGAAAAGCATTCAAGCTTTTGTTATAATTCCATTACTTACAAATAACCATCAGAAGTGTGTATGATATTAGACCAACCAGATTGATTAAACAAAAGATAAAAAAAATGGTAAATTGGTAAATAGGAGAATTGGGCCCAGTGACACAATATTCAGTCCTGTGTTGCAGTGTCAGAATGCTGACGAAAGAAAGTCTGCATTTTATAATTAAGTTAATAATTGTGAGATTGGTGCGGAGGTATTATTATTTTTTAAGTCATTTTACCCATAACTGTGCTCCATAATATTATTGCATTCAACCCTCTATGGTCATATTTACATTGTCTATTTCAGTTGAGGACTTAAGTGAAATAATAATACTCAGTTGCCAGTTTTTAGGTACACTTAGTGACTTGCCTAATGCGGTCAAATACAACAGTACTCCAATTAACCCTACCTTCATGAAAGGTTATAGTGGTAAGCTTTAATTGAATTGTGTTTTGGAGGATGGTTTTGTGCTGCTGTTGATCTGTATTGCATTATACAAAAACATTCCTTCTGTTTATTTAGCTTACCCTCATTGATATAAATGGGCAGAATTATAGAAACACCTGTCAGTATGATGCTATAACAGCACAATAAACTACATCCTTCAAAATATCCATACAGTTGAATCAACACCTCTCAAAACATTTTTTTTAAACTGAACATTATAACCTTCATGAAAGTAGAATTCATTACAGAACTGTCGTATTAGACTGCATTAGTTTCAGATAGGTGTGCCTAATAATTTGGCACGTGTATACTATATGGTTCTACAGACCCTATAAAGTGTCTTTCATTATTTCCATGAAAGGTTTGTAATGTATCATTATGCTGATAAAGTACATTGAAATAAAACAAAGAGTGAATAGAAACTGAATACAGTATCTATTTGATTATGGTCATAAAGTTTGCTAATTATTATTTATGAAGTCCACGGCTTTTAACATGATCCACTCAAAACAATACATAAAGGTTTTATGCACATGAATTCTTGATTATTCACGTGTTTGTCTAATACCCATGTTAACTGGTCAAGCAAGTCAAATTTATTTGTTTCGCTCAATATCACATCAATGAACTTAGAAGATTAAGACCCACAACTGTAGTGGTTGTCATCGCTAATTTGAGAAGAAATGGAAAACTCCCAAAGCTCTTGTCCATGTCTGTCAAGAGGAGGATGAAAATGATTTAAGCAGGATTCATATGAAGAATGGCCTTAGTGGAGAACTATACAATATTAAAGGACCCTAACTGCCATACACTATGTCCCCTCTCAATGAAAGTGAACTAACCAAGCCCACCCCCTCTGATCTGCAGACAGCTCCCACAGGAACAACAGTTTGTTGATCACAGTCAGCTGCTACAAGAAGAACATTTCAAATCTGTGCCATTGCCTGTCGTAAAACCCAAATGAAATTCCTCAAAGAAACCATAACCATCCATAAAAATAAAAAAAAACATCTGCTCTGCTACCAATTTTATTAGGACCTTTCCAAGGAATAATTACCAATATCTGAGTCTAGTGTAAGCTTTTTAATGAGCTGTTGGAGTTCTTCATTTTAGAAATGGTGTCAGTTGCACTTCAGATCTTTTAAAAGTGGTTAAGGGTTAGTGTTAGGGGCCAGCTGTTAACAGCCTGAGCTGGTATTGCATGATCATATGACACAAACGCATAATTTTCCCACACAAGAGAAAAGGCTATAAAATGATAACAAGAGAGTTTAAAATATCCTGAAATGTGTTTTCACATGCATCAGAAACTGACCAGCCGGGTCCAGTAAGTATCTGTAAAGAGTAAACAAGTCATATTAAACTGTTTTATGCCATTCCTGGGTTTGGGAGCCAACAGGAAGCTTCCAACATGCCTACTCTCTATTGACTCACAGACAGACTTTAGTGTGCATGCCATGTAGGCCCCAAAACGTGGAAGCCTGACTTTCATAGGAAGTTATTATTTTACGATTTATATTAGGATTTATTTTGATTTTTTAACATTCAACCATTGTAAAAAGTTGAGATAGACATAGAGACTGCATATCACGAGTCATCAAAAACAATAGACATCACATTATTCAGTCTTTATAGAGGTGGTAAATAAAATATGTAAGAGAATGAACATACATACATACATACATATTTATGTACTGTATATATGTATATATAGTAGAGTAGTATATAGAAACTGGTCAGAGACAATATGTGGATGGTTGCCATTCTAGGGTGCTCCATTGCCAGTTACTGCAATAAGGATTAACCCAAGATAACACTGACAGCAGCTACAGTTTAATTCAAGTCCCACATTTATCAAGAATTTGTTAGAAAGACAGCAAATAAAAACTCTCAATTTTAAACCCCTGTCATGTTCAGACACACCCAATCAGTAACTTCAAAGCGAACATTTTCACTACTCTATTTCAAATGCTGCGTAAACTGAACTTTTGGTAAATGAGGCTGTCACACACACCAGAAGCCTCTGCCATGGATTAACAATACACAAGAAAAACCCCCACATGGCCTAGCAGCAGAGGGAGGCTGTTGTTCATTATGTTACATCTTTACAATGAATGCCTTATTGCTTACTTTGATTATTAAGTAAATTTCAGCAACACACGTTTTCAATTTAAGTCATTAAGTGGGTTTAAATTAAATTAAAACAGTTACCTCGACAATAAGCCCTATCCAAATTGTTGTGTAGTGTAAGCCTTCGTTGATCAATTATGCAAGGGTTGATTCATTTGCTTTTTCTCTTTGTAGTCTGTTATTAATTCAGCTTGTCAGCAACTATACCATACAATTATAAATTCCTTTCTGTTATACATACTTAACACACACATTGGTTTGCATGGAGTGTTCAGAAATGAGATTCCATTGGGAAGCTGAAGCAGGACTGCACCTGGTTGCATCAACACTTTTTAACCTTGTAAAGACAAAATAAAACTGGTTTAGGTCCACCAAAGACGACCACACCTTATTTCAAAGAGCACATCAACTTTCCCAGAAAGTGCCCCTG